TTAAAATCGTAGTTTCTCCAGATCAATCCAATGTCTTCTCTATTGAGTGGTACCTAAACCCATGAAAAATAAGCCATTTAAATGTATCCAAACATTATTTTTAGCAACTAGGACCTGATCGAACTGTCATGATGAGATTAGAAGTAGCTAAATCCAGCATTGTTTATTTACTAAGCGTTATATTAAGATAAAAATGTTATTAGAGTTGTTACGTACGTAATACGTAAGTACCTACTATGTACATATAAAGAAAAACAAATGAACATCGCCGGGGCGACATCTCTGTATCGGTAGAATATCGTATAACGAGTGTCGCCGCTGACTCCGCGGAGTCAACACCAAGCCGTGTGAACCAGAAGATTCCACATACCACACATGCAATAGAATGCCACTATCATCCTTACATCGGGGCAATCATGTAGCCTTAGGTATAGGTTATAAGTTTTAAAATGTAATTCGTATTCTAATATATATATAAGTATATTTCGTAGTTTTCCTCGAACCTCCGGTTGTCACCCTATATAATTGAGTCATATAATTATTCAAACCAAAATAAAAATATACATTTTCTACATTCATTCTAACTATAGATTCAATTATAAATGTATCGTCAAACAAAATCTGTTAGATATTTTATAATGTTTTCGATTATCGTATATTGATCGATTATACAATAAAATTCAATTTTTCAATAAATATTTTATGTTCAATTGAATTGTTATTGAACGAAATTACATATTTACTATACATCTATATTAATTTTGATTGATTATCTTTAGCGACACTGTTTACTAGAATACAGCGAACCAAAAAAGTCATAAAATCTTTTCATAATTATTACATGTAAGTACATTTTTAAAAATTCACTCTTACTAAATAACAAAATTCAGTATAACAAGTAAGTAAAGAGTAAATAAATCGTATAGTATCTAATTAAATTTATTAAGCCCGTCTGGGTTTTAAATCAGAGGACACAAAACAGACATAGGTCATGTATAAAGTTAAGGTAATCTAGGCCTGCTTCTATTTCAGTTCAACATTATTTTTGACTTTTAAGTAAATTTGTAAAGCAGTCAAGTGTTTCAGTTTTTATTTTATTTATATTCATTATATATGTATCTTCTAAACTTATATTTATAAGTTCGAATAAAATTACAACAAATAGGTAAAATAAATATTCGACATATATCTCACGTATTCATATTTCATCGACATTGCCAAATGAAAGTCATTTTAGGAGAATATTACAAAAGTTATCCATCCTCTTTAAAGAATCCTAATTATTTTTCATTCAAACGTGATTTTCCTTCACTTCTAAGGAAAGCTGTCAAGTTAAGGTATTATCAGTATTACTTTAAATAAATTACTTTTGAGGAAATTACTGTTTCTTGTGAAAAAGACCCTTGAATCTCACCAAAACGATAAGGGCACGTCAAGAAGTTTAACAACAATGAAATTCAGGATTTGTCTTAACATGTTTATCACAAAGTTATGAAGATTATGTGTTTTCCAAAGTTCTTTGTTAAATTATGTTTTGAGTATTCGATATTATGGTTATTCTTCATCATTCATTTTTATATTATTTTGTGAAAAACACTTCATATATATGAAAGTAAGTTCTTCCGATACTAGGCTTTTTTTACCTATACGGCAACTATGATCCCGAGTAGAAAAGATGAGAGTGTCTCCACCGAACCTAAAGAGTTAATATTATTATGTTATTGTTATCAAAGACTATCTGTCTATATTTAAATTTCATTAATAGGTACAAACCGAAAGTATGCTAATGACTAAGATAAACGAATATTACTGTAAAGTTAAAATTAGAGCAAAATCGGTCTTAAGGATCTTTGTCCCTTTTCATAGAGGAGCATGACATAGTAATTTTGTAATTTTATTTTAATATGAAAAAATTACCTTATAGCTTTTTTAATATTAAGGTAGCACTTATATCTCTTGTCACCAAAATTATTCTATCATTTTTCTCAAGACTTACTAGGTATAGCTAATCGCAGAGTAGGGAACAAGTAGAAAACGATCGCCATATTCCTAATCAATATTTTCAATGATTCCTGTCAGATCTAATTAAGGAGGCTGGCAACCAGAGGTTACAGGAAACCAACATAAGTTACTTATATGTACATTATACGAATAACATATTAAAACTAATAATCTATACCTACGACTACATGATTGTTCCGATGTTAGGATAACAATGACATTCCATGGCTTGTGTGGTATCAAGAATCTTCTGGTTTACACGGCTTGGTGTTCGTTAAGCGGAGTCAACGGACTCGTTATATGAATTTTTATCCATACAACGATGTTGCCCTGGCGATGTACATTTAATTTTTAATATGTGGCACGTAAGTAACAATCTCCACATCATTTGTATATGATCAGTGGTTCCAATAAATACTTTGATAATTTTTTAGCAAACGCAATTTTTTATATAATAGACAGATGATTGTTTTTCCCCTTATTGATGTCCCGTTTCAATTGGGTATAAAAAGAAGCAAAAACTAAATAGTAGAACCCACTCATTTAACGACAACCAAAACGGCAATTTCAAAACTAGGGTGATCTATTACTTTTCTATACTTGATCTATTAAAAATATTTATTGTGGTAGGAAACATTTGTATATTAATACCTGGCAGAGGCTTTTCATTACCTCTCATTTTATATGCACCCTCGATTCCATGAACTACCTACCACTCCGTGGTTCCGTGAAATGTTACTAATTAATAATCCCTATATTCCTCGGGTTTCCATAGAATACATCTTCTATCTAGAAATTTATTACAGTACAATACTACATAATAGAAATATTATTGAATATAGTTTACAGTGATACAAACAAAGAGACAGTCAGTGGTGACCTAGTGGTTCAAAGGCCCGCCTCTCGGGCATGAGGGATCGGGTTCGATCCTGGCAAGTACCAATGTATATTTTCCGAGTCATATGTACTGTCTAGGAGTATTTAGACATCACTGATTAATGCATTCCCAAAAAAGGTTGATGTCAGGCAGGCGGCCGGTAATAAAAAAAACAATTAACCAAAACTATTCTCAACATGTAAGTATGAAAGGCAGACCCTGGCTAATCCTGGGAAATTGCCAGGCAGAAGATGAATGAGAGAGACAGTACCTACGTATAATTTGTTTTCTATACCTACATAGTAAATTGTTTATGTTAGATTAAACGTCGTCATTTTACATAATATATTAAACCTTACTATGGACCTCATACGAAGAATAATTCTGCTTTGACAATTCATCTCTAGTTCATCAAATTAGTTTTTCAATAACATGGAAGATGATTGACGGACAATTATTTTAAAGTAAAACACTACATACGCTATCATTTGAATACTAGTCCAACAAAAGACTTTGAAATCGCCATGGAAGCATAAATAATTCTGTCTTTGCAAGTGACGTAAGAGTTCCTCAAATCGAATGTATAAAACTTGCCCATAAAGCGTTTTCATTTAATATCTATGACATTAAAATAGCAGAATATGTACACACGTATAAACATATATGTATGTGTGTGTGTGTGCTTATGTGTGTGTGTAAAGTTACATACATATACATATAAATAAACTATTGGCATATCGTTACTTGAACTAACCCTCTGTTGTTTCCTGCTAAGATTAAATGAACTTTAATACTAAACGTCTCAAGGTTGATTTGAATAAGTCATGGCTGAAAACCTTGAATGAGGTGACATTGCTTCAGTGCATACTTTTACATGTAGGTATTAGGTTCATTACTTGTTTAAAACCATAAGAGATAAAAGAACAATTTCATATTAACTATACATTGCCGTACAGTCGATAATTGACCATAATTAATCGATTATTTGAAGTTAGTATCTAATAATGGATTTATCATTACTCATTAAGTTTGACATTCAGTAACAATACAGATATAGAGAAATCGTCACGAATTGACGTTTTATATTAAGGTGCATGTTGTGGAAAAGTCACAGTAGTATGTAATTTTATTTTAAATAATTAATAATTTTCTAATACATTTTTTGTCAATAAGGAGAAAACTAAAACTTTTATCGAGTTAAAAATGCATAGTTTTCACTTCACTTATCATTTAATATTTAACTAAATATTACACAATCAAAACCGCGCCAAGTCAAAACCTATTGACAGAAAATTAATTTCAACACAGATTATATTTGTAACTAAACAGCACTGACAGCTTTGTTGTCATAATTTAAATAATAACATTAACGTCACAATAGAACTAATGAGATAATTAAGCTCTGTATAATACTATAACTATTTATTGAATTTTAGTCCATAAAATCATGTGATATAGTCCAATATTGTCTAACATTGTATAGTTCTACTTTATGCTATTAAGCCTAAAGCCGTGGAACAGACAATTTGAGTCCCAAAATAACGTAATTTCGTTACCAAATGTAACCACGTACAAACCCTCTCTTTATACGTGCCGGTTTAATAAGGACTCGTTGGATTCTATTCTGGATTTATATGACTTTCAGATCAAATTCCAATCGGGATATATTGAATACAAACATTAATTGAATCTATCGAATGATTTAATTAAAAAATATTGTTAATTGAAAATAAATAAATAAAACGAAACACATATATTTAAACATCGTATATTTATTCAATATAAAGTAATAATACATTAAAAACAATAAACAATGTTTGAAACGTAAAATGCATATTCCAATGGAATGTTACTCAAAAATGTTAATAATATAACAATAAATCAATCCTTATACATTTATAATACTATGTCAGATCTTACATCTATTCACTTATATTCATTAAATATTTTATAAGGCACCGTGTTTTTTAAGTTAATTGAGGATTAAAAAATATCTAAATAGTTTTAATAACTTAGACATTGGCATTATACACGTGACAGCGTATTTTTTTTTTATTAAAAAAGTAATAATTCAGCCAGTGTGTGACAGGTCTATTGTTTGTCTATGGTATTTTTTGAGCTATCATTTAAGTGAGTTATGCCGCGCAGCTTGAAGAGTGTTCTTCATCAACATGGCGACTGTCATGGGACCCACTCCACCAGGCACGGGAGTTATAGCACCAGCAACTTTAACTACCTCTGAGAGGAAAAAATTAAGTTAAGATAGACGCACAAGACTTCTAAATGGGAAATAAAAACAATGGTGAATGAAATAAAATGTAAAATCAAATATTAGGAAAGTTGAAATTTACGATTTATTGTAGGTATCTAACATCAGTCGTTATGACAAAAATGTTGTTCCTTTATTCCTCCTACCTAGTTATCATCTTATTTATTAAATATATCATACTAACTTAGTTCATTCATAATGACTAATGAGTAAATAAAAATTAATAAGTAAGTAAGGATGTACCATTGTAAGAAGTACATATCAACTTACCGTCGTAATCAACATCGCCAACTAGTTTTGTCTTTCCGCTTTCATCAGTTACTCTTGTGATGCCGACGTCTATGATCGTGGCTCCTGGCTTCACCATATCAGCCTTAATAAGCTTTGGTAGACCTATTCCGATAGAGCATAATTATCAGTTTTGAACAGAAATACGTAATTTTTAGACAATGACATAACTAGGCAGAAATTAAGGACTATTATTTGTGTATTGAACTAATTATCACGCGTTTCAAGGCCATTCCTCCCTAAACTACGTCGCATATGTTGTAGACGAGTCATAACAGACAAACTATTCTATGAAGAAAAAGTCCCCCCAAAATACGCTCAGGCATTTCAAAGAACATGCCAGATTAGCAACAAAACAGCGATAAATACTGGCTTCAAAATATTACATCATCTATTTTTCATTAAAAAATTCTTCACGACTCATTTTACCGCCAGTTACATTCATTTAAGAACTTATTCGCAACTATTCAATATCATTATAAAACTGAGATTAAGTTATAAAAATCATGATTTTATATAAATACAATATAAAATAAATATATTCATACCGGTAGCACTGACAATAATATCAGCGTGTCTGCAATAAAACTCCAATTGATCAGGCGGCGTGTGTCTATGACAGATAGTGACAGTTGAGTCCATACCGAGACCGCTGTCATGGCGGCCATCGGAATGTAGCATCATGGCTATTGGCATACCGACGTTCTTAGAACGACCTATGACCACCGTGTTGCGACCGAATGTATCGATTTTGAATCTAATTAAACAAAAAATAATAATATTGTCACCTATTATAATACCTGTATAATCACCTGATTAAAAGTACATGCATAAAATTATGTGTAATCTGTCAATTCAAAAAATGTTTTAAGTTTATTTATAATATAAAATTAATATTACTAAGGATAGCTTATGATTAAAAAATGTTACAGGAAGAATTTCAACTATCACTTTAAAGCTATTATGAATAAAAGGAACTATAATTAATTCCTATAATATTTTTTTATCACGACTATTAACCAAATTGTAGTCCAAACACGATCTTTTTGTCTATTACTATAATTATGGAAAAGGGAAGTTTTACAATAGTATTGATTTTATAAAACAATCCTTCAGTTGTGACAATGAACCATAAAGTATTCGAACTTGACCTGTATATGTCATAATAAATAAATAATTATTGCTTATATGTCATCATACTGTGATAAGAACTACACATTGAGAAATTACTATCTAAAGAGAGATACTATGAATGATAAATACTATGAATTCATTAATGTCCATTGACCATATACAATTTTAAATGCAATAAATTCAATTTATAATTAGTCATTGGAGTTATAATTGAATTATCTTGGCTTAATAAATATTTATAGCAAGACACAAAAAGATTACAAAGATTTTACTAATAAGCTCATAATATACCTTTAATGCATTATTTTGTTTTATTAACACTAAAATGACTGCATACTATATATGGAATGAATATATATACATATATTTTGAGGAAAATAAAGTAAGAACTCACCTTCTCAGCATTTCAACCACAGCGAGGGCAGTGGCTGGTACAATGGTTGGCATGTCCAAACACAACTGACCAACATTTGTTATATGAAAACCATCCACATCCTTCTCCGGAGCCAATGCATTACACACTCTCCTCTCATCGATAGAGCTAGGTAAAGGCAACTGCACTAATATCCCGTTAATATTTTTATCCTTATTCAACGAATCTATTATAGACATTAAAGCCTCTTCCGTTAAATTTGAGTCGTATCTAATTGTTTCTGCTTCAATACCAACTTCTCGTGCTGCCTGTATTTTGTTTCTAACATAAGTATGACTGGCAGGGTCGTCGCCAACTATAATGCAGCGCAGAGTTGGTACAGGGTTGCCGCTCCTGATCCAATTGTTTATTTCTATCTTTACTTCATCCTTAATTTCTTTGGCCAGGGCTTTTCCATCCAGGATTCTTGCCATGATCCTAATACATAACATTAGCAGACATTATTAATATGAATGCAATATTGAAAAACACACTACAAATTTTCTACTATAATAAATTCACTATTAAAATATTAATAATGTAATAACAAAAAAAAGTCCTATTAATTATACTATATTAGAAGCCACGGACAGCATAGAGAGTGCATAGGGAAACTTATTGCCACTAATACAATAACACAATGCAAAAAACACCTAGGTATTTCTATCAAATATTACCTGGCTGTGCCCAAAGATTCATTGTATGTGTGACTTCTCATTTTGGAATTCAGAATTGTACTGAGAACATTCAATCGAATGATTTGCCTCATCACCTACTGTTGACGTACAGAGGTCATTAGGTTACAATGTATAATTAGATATCTTATTTGTCATATCCAAAGCCATTATTCCAAATAATTCAGTTAAAACTACTTTTTAGCGGTTAACACTTATAAAATTGGTTTATCGGGTTATAGAGTTCAAAATTTATCAATGAATCTAGGTAAAATTGGTATGAACAGGTTTTTAACAAATATTTTATCCATTTGCTCTCATTCTCCTTTACATGTAAAAATAACAATAATTTAATATAAACAACTGCCTTGATACTTTTAATTTCTGACACATGACAATTTTTTGGTGGACACACACTTTATTTATTTGATATTTGGAATGTTCAATATAGTTAATTGTTTTGTAGATTAAACAATGAAATATTTACGTCATAAATATTATATTGAACTATCAAAATGATCAACACATGAGTTGTGACGGTATTGGCCTTTGATAACCTAAACAACGCAATGAATAAAAATAATTCGGTAGGATAAAAATAACTTGCCTTAAATTTTCGAGCACTAAGGAGAAACGAGTTAATAGTTTATTAAAACTGAATAATTAATACTAACAATTAACACTGCTTAAAGTTTAAATTAGAAGTCAGGATTGTATATATGAGTTGTCAATGGTAAAAAGTTTTATGTTAAACGTCAACGTCAAGGTCTTAAACTTCAGAAGACCAATCGCGTACAGATATCTGAAGTAAAATCTGATTTATGAAATACTGCAAATAATTATGCATGATACTAAAATATCCAAAGTGAATTTGATATTTAAGTGGTTGTAGTTTTATAATCTAATAAATTATGACATAAAAAAATACAGTATTTTTTATACTCGTACAAGTTATAAGTATTTATCATCAATCTATCAAAATCGTAGGTTTAGTAGCATTTGTCTATAAAAAATGGTGAATTTTTTTAGATTAGTTTCGTGCCATTGACCTTATCTGTGAAGTAAAAAAGCATTACATGTATACAGTGCAGAAAAAAATAGTACACTTAAGAAACCATCAACAGAAGATTTTTTAAATATACCTACACATTTTTTAATAATTATTAATTACTTTTTAAATTTATTAAACTAGTTTCAAATAATTATTAAAAATGTTGAAAAAATTGTTTAAGGAATGACTAGGTACTACAAATCAATTCTATATTTTACGTAGATATAATTAAGTAAATGTTTTTACAGTTGATAATAATACTACCCGGAATTTAGTTGCCTGTTATCACAGCTTGCTATAAGCATTCAAATAACAACAGTGTTTTTTTCTCTCGATATAAAAAGTTGTTACTATAACAAGCCGATATAATTAATTATAATAAGATATATACTTACCATCTATGCAATAGGCATAGGCAAAGATAACTATATCGCAGAAATATTGACAAAAAGTATGTTATTCTTTTAAATATTCAGTTTATAAACATCAGACATTCTCATCTCACCTGCGTTTGGTGACGGTTGCTGCAAAGTAACCTTTCGGTTCTTTGGGCAGTGCTTTTCCGCAAAGGATTCGTTGGGAGTAGGTACGTTGTTAAACGTAAAAATTCCGAAAAATATTTTATTTCAACACTAAAATCAGTGAAAATAATTCTACAAAATGTATGTATAAATTCGTCAGAAAAATTAGGAAACTATAGACCAAATATTGTAATAATATATTCGAAATTTATCACTTGAGTCCGACTACAAATATCCCTTAATCATAATTAGCTCTTGAAGACTTTGACCTCAGTCATAGCTAAGCGTTCTATAGAAAATGCAAACCTTTTCATAATATGCAAATATCAGCCCAGGTCAGTGATGGAAATCGGATGTTGACTGGACAGATGTTGAGATCACAATCTTTAGTACTATCCCATTCTATCCCATAGGATGTTTAAGCAAAAAAAAAGTTATACTTATAAGACCTTGTCCAAATCGAATAACTCATGATCTTCTACACTACCATAGTAACATCTTACTTTACGTGGACTTAATCTAACTAGGTGATTCCAAGATGGAATTGTGGTAACTTCTCATAATTCCACCACCCAAATGTGTTATTTTTTATAATGATTGTGTTCATTTATAAATAAAAAAATTATAAAAGAGTATTTATTGAAGTGTATATGTATAAAGGTCCTTTTAGCATTATTCTACACAAACTTCAACTTCTGATGTGATTTCAATTTAAACATATTCACAATATTTCGTAAAATATGTTATTCATTATCACTAACATGGCTAGATTATCTTAAAAAGCTCTTTATGCCGGTTTTATCACAACTCCTTTGAATAGCTAGCTATTCAAGTCCCTTGGTTGCAGTCGGCATTTTCTTTTCGCTATATCGTTGTATCTTACAGTTACATCTGAGTAAAGGATTTAAAAATAGGATTAATTGTAAGTTTTTTCATGCACTAACTGGATAAAAGACGTTTAAGTAAAGAAAAGTGGTACTTGTTCTACCTGAGTCACGTAATTCCAATAGCAAATAAAAAAATTAAGAACGCTAAGTCCTAAAACCATTATACCAATTGTTATAGGTATAAAATTAATATATTTTCTATTTTATTGTAGAAATTGTTACGTAAATATTAACAAAGACTTATTGTTTACCAAATAATTATTATTAGTCACTGGAGCGTTTTTTACTCGGAAATTTGTGAACCGAGGTGTCTAAAATATACCGACAAATGAAAGTTTTTTAGTTCTAATTCAAACTCAGAAAAGGTTATCCTAAACAGGCTTATAAATAAAACTGAAAATAACAAACAATAACATTGTAACAGATTTAAGCTAAATAAAAAAAGACATTAAGACAAGTCACTTTACTCCGGATGTTTTTCTTTCATCCTTTACTGCTCTATTTGTCAATAGAATTTCCTTTTGAGAATTTATATAACTGTCAGATTTTATACTATCTCAGCATATAAGAAAAACAAAGTGTTTATTTAACATGAGAGAAAATCTATTATACCAACAAACACATGTGGTAATGCATATATACATATATGACGGCACATTTGTAATTTAAGAGACTAAATTGATCATTCTAACGATAGATTGAGGGTAGTTTTTTTTTACAGTGATTTCCGGCGTCGACCGTCGGTGCTTTTATTGGACTGGATTGCCATCTTATAAGCTCCGGCGGCCTCAGCACTTAATGTTTTAAGTTTAGAGGTGAGGGTACAATAGGTGTATAAGTAACTTAATATTAGATGTAAATGTTGTTGATCTAGTTCAATCTGGACAGTACTGAAGCAGATATAAAAGCCGGGACATCTCGTCGTGACCTGATCGTACAAAATACCGGTAATTCAAGCTCGACGGTGAAGGAGGTAACTTGTGCGACCACAAGAGGATCCGAGGAGAGTTGACGACATCATCTTGTAAGACTGTTTCTTTTCTTTTTAGCATCTCGTGTACCTGCTCGCATAGTACTAATGTGTATCTGTATATGAAAATGTTTCGAATAAGTTTCTGGATACTTTGAGCAATAAAGTAGTTCCTTTGAAAGGTATGAGGGCATCGGAGACTTATTGTAATACACAAATTTTAGGCTAGACCTAGGCAGACCGTCTCGTTAAAGGAAATAGAACATTGACATGAAATAATCATTCCGTCGATCGATCGTTAATCGATCTCGTATTTATCGGATTCACACTAATAAAACATATGCTATATTATTTTACTTACAATTAAACAAATAAGAGTGTATAACAATTAAATGTTTAATATAGGATACAATCCTTACTTAATACTATGTGAATTTCTGAATAATTATTAAAAGTACAGATTAAAATAAAAATAAGTATAATCGATAAGCTGATGATAAAATCATAAAATATATTTAAAAAAATTACTGCTATAAAAAGCGGAATACTATAATAATACAATAAATTTGGTAACAAAAACAAATGTGCAAAATACTTTACAGATTGTCTGGTAGTATTAAAATAGCTGTGAAGGACCTATTGCAATATTTTAAAATGAAAGCATAAAAAAATATTAGTGGCTTTAACTATTTACGAAGGAAGAGTTATAATTAAGTACCTGACTATGATTTCTTCTTTAATGTATTGGACACTAAATTAACTTCAGATAGGTATATTATGTAAATTGGAGTTATAATAAAATATGCATATATATACGTAATAATATATTTTATACCATTGTTGTAGATCAAGTATAGAATAAATAAAGACATAGGTAATACGTAGATAAATTGGTAATCACGAGGTACGTTCTAAATAGTTATATAGACTATAAAGGAAAGGAAATAACCTTATAGAGACAATAACAATAAGGGTTTTAATTTAAGGCCGTCAATAAAATTGAAAGAGCGTTGGCCACAAAACCAATTAATTCTTATCAAACATCATATTATTATTAAAAACAATTCGTACTAAAACCCCGAGTGTACTACGCAATATATGACCTTATTAAATAATGATAAATAAATAATTGAATGATAAAAAAGCGTTATGGACTGTATTGATTGTAAAGCATTTGATATTTCAAATATACTCGTAATTTATGTTTAAAACTTCTTGAACTTATCTAATTTTAGAAAATTTTTTTTGAAGAACTTTTTGGTAATTATAGAAAATATAAAACTTATTTGTGTAATATATATTTCAGTAAATTGCTAAATAATTTTACTATTAAGAAAAAAATAATATTAATGGAAAGTTTATTTTAGTAGTGTAAAATAATAATTAATTGGCAAGTTTTAAAGCAATTATATACATGTATATAAAATTTCAGAACAAATTTACACCGTAACAATAGGGCAACACTAGGTTGATTGTCATGTAAGCGAAAATGTTGTGTGCGGTGTGTATTGAATGCTAAATACCTAATGTAATCAGTAATTACTACACCACTATCGTGAGATAAACGTAGAGCATGCATCTTCAAAATATATAGTGTATAAAAATGTTTAACAATATAAATTTTAAACAGGTTATGAGAGAAACATCTTGAATGATATGATGCAAA